TTATATTATTAATATTAAACAAATGTTCTAGACATAACAACAATGAAAAATCTCAGCAAAAAATGCTCTATGAGAATGAATAAAAAGCGGAAAATAGCCACCAAAATTATGCTACTGTGGAGTGAGTTTGTAACAATTATGTATGTATACATGTATATGGTATGTTGGCTCCATGGCTATTTCCAAGAATGGATTTGCAGCGGGGAGATGTTAATTAATTTGGATTTTTTGCCCGTGTATTATAATGTAGTCTCAGTGTTTGCCCCAAAGGCTTGTGAAAATAAAGCACAAGTTTACTCGGGTGAGATTGAACCCACGACTTCCTGCTTACTAGTGCAGGTGTCTTAACCACTCAACCATGGAGCTAGCCGGTGTCGGCTGGCTGGATTGAGTCAGATGTAGCTACTGTGAATAACTATTCCAAGGATGGATTTGTCTCCAAGGCTGTGAGACTTTTGTTAACTTGAAGTCTGAATAACTCAAATTTTTTAGTCATTTCCTTGAATTGAAGTTGTTCTGTATTTTAAGAAAGTTGTTCATCAGTGTAAGTGACAGCCAACATACTTACAATTTGATAAAGAATAAATAATTTTAGGCATTATGAATTTCACCACTTTCTTCCAGAGATCGGTTTTGCTTGTTGTGTGCACAGTTCTTCACATTTTTGAAACATAAGACTAAAATCGAATAAGAGATGGATAACAACTAACAAAGCCAGATTCGTCAAAGTGTACCGCTCTCTGAGGGCGCATTATCTATAATCCTTTTATTTTATGGCCTGTCTTTGTGAGAGCAACAATCTTATCTAGTTCAAACCATTTGATTTACAAAAATAACTTATCTGCTCAATGAAAGCGATTTCAGTCACGTATAAAAACCACATACTTTGATAAATTTTCCTACTCACTCCTACACAATCTGGTCATATCGGCAATGTTTCCTCTCTCCCTCCCTGTCCCCACCCTACCTCCAGACTACTCGAAGAGAAGAAGGACCTGCAGGCATCCAAGGACAAACTCCTAGCCCGGCTCAACAAGCATAAGATCTACCACCGATACCTGGAGAGAACGCTGGAGGCGGCGGAAGAGTTCCATGAGATTCGGGAGATCATCGCTCGCTACGAGACACTGGTGGCCACTCACACAGTAAGTATACCAGTCTGATTATTCCAATTAGGGCCAATTTTCCAGAGCTGCTGGGTAGTGAAATTTGCTTAGCACGGAAAATGTATGCTTAGCTGGAACAGATTACCAGCCAAAATAACATGCAAAGTGTAAAACTGGTTGTCCACTTTTTTACTAAGCAAAATTTGCTTAGCAATCTCTTCTACTTGGCAGCTACGTGTATTTGGGTCTAGAATCTCGCACCCTGTCTATTTAAATAGCCTGTTTGCTTTCTAGCTTTCTGGGATAGTTGCATGTGAAGTGGCCCTCTACTGGTCAAATACGTAATTTTTACAATTAAAATTATGGCATTTCAGCAGGTAAAATTCATTTCGAAACTATACTTTAACCTTGAGCCGGAAGTCCTTCTTTTTGAAATGCAACTCTGGGTAGATGAACTGTCTAAGATTTACCACCGCTCCCTTATTTCATCTGTTTGCAGCCCTTTCTTAATCAAAATCATACATTGATAGTATCTCCTCTGTGAATCGTCGTTTTGTCTAGGACCTGCTGGACAAGTCTCACAAGACACAGGATGCTGTAGAGAGGGAGAAGGCGGCGCTGGTCAAGTTCACCGAGGAGAAGAACAACGAGATCCTGCACTACAACAACAAGCTGGCCAAGCTACAGACCAGACTGGACAAAGCACAGAGTGAAGCCGTCAAATGGTGGGTTCAAATCCAGACTGAGAGACAATTCAGGCCAAGTCAGCATAGATCTGGGTCACACCTCATGGACCCTCGTTGGCTGAAATCCTTGCAATTAAACTTTGCCCATGCAGGGTATTTAGTGGCTAAGGCTTTCAATTTTGCCATTAGCACACAATGGTGAAAAGCCGTAGCCAGAGATGACAGAGCTCTGTTTTGATATGACTTAACATCAGAGATAGTAGAGGCTCATTCAGGAGGCAATATATTACAGCAGCGGGGCTATTTGTGAGTCCATCACAAGTCCCTGCAAGCTCATGCATGTCCAACACCAATCAGTCACAAGTCATCAAGTCTTAAGCCAAATCCCAAACTATTCAAATGAACTAACTGCGACCAAAGCATTCCTTTGTCAGTGTCGTTCATCCTTGTGACTTGTCTTTTGAAAGGACTTGTAGCCACACTTGTGAAAGAACTTGTAACAGAACCTCTGATGCCCTTGACAACTATAATCTGCTTGATTACTGCAAGCCCCCCCCCCGACTAATTCACCAAGCATCAGCTGACCTTTACCCTGCAATCAGTTGTTTGAATAGAGCTATATATGAAAACTAGAGATCTTACTCATGTATGAAGTGATGCCTGCTGGGCACGTGTATGTTTGTGCTATGGAAAGCGCGAAATTTTGTACGGTTTTTGTACATCTATTTGCTTATCTGCGTCTGTATTCTAAAACGATACGTCAACATAGCTGATCACAGAAAAACTAACGCACAATCAGTAAATGGATGGGTCATTTTACTCTGCGGAAACAACGCAAACTCATGCGCATATGCACTGCAGATAATTTTGCCGTTGCATTTATAATTCCCTCTTCATTCTATCTGATTTTGAATGTCCTACAAGCACGCACCTAGATTCTAAATGTCTGCACCTAGGATGGCGTCAGATTTCCTGCGCATGGAGAATAAGAAGTTATCTCAAGTAATTGAATATAGCTCTATGCTTGTTTGCTAAAATGAAGAAATCTATTGGAGCTGGATTCAAACCTCCAATGACCGGATTCTGCACTCCGACCAGCTAAGGCCGTGTCCGAAACGGGCTTCCAGAGCTACGGCTAGGTCTATTGTCTACGCATCTCCACGTATTTCCAATGGAGCGAAGACCTAGACCTAGCTCTAGACGAGAGATTCGGGTGCAGCCTAAGCTTCCCTCAGCCCAATGCTTGAAAGGAACTGAAGATCAAGCTTGAGCAAAAATCATTAAGACCCAAAGTTTGACGTCTGAGCAAAAGCTTATCATGGTTTGGATTGGTGTTGGAATCTCTCTTTGCAGGGAGTCACAGTGGACACACATCAAGAACACTGCAGCCAAGAAGACATTACTCCTTGGAAGAATAAAAATGTAAGTCACAGACCAATGCAGAGTAATTTCTTAATATTCTTAAATAAATCTGTCGGTGGCTAATTCACTCTCTATCCTTATTTTATATTGCCGCTTCTTTGATAACTTGCCCTATAAACAAATGAGCTGATTGGATCTGTTTTTTGGACATGTTGGATAGAGTGAAAATTACTGCAAAAGGAGTAAGGATGGAAATCTACGTATTAATAATTACTTTCTTAATATTAATAATTACTTTCATGAACGTTTCAAAGTTCAGCCAACCCTTCCCAAAAGCAGTCACCCCCTATTTCAATGTTTGCACATACATGTATAGTTCACCAACAGTGTGCATCATTGGCCGAATGTGTAAAAGTAATTTTTTCTGCTTCTCTCTGTTTGACGGTTTGTTGTTTAAATGACATGCGGAGATATATATGCATGTACATCGATAGAGGAAGCCAGTAATTTCATACTTGAATGATAAATTAGAGTTGAGCAAGAAGCACTTTCACACAGAACTTCATAAGAGAAATCACCAAGGTCTTTCTCGGTTTTCTCAGTATCCTGTTCCTCCAAGCTTGGTAAATCTAAGCTGAAGATGAACATTTTTCTGTTTTATTTTCATGCCAGGGCGACACACAATTTGTTCCAACTTGTCAATAAGCATCTAAAACAACAGACAGTGGCTGAAGACACTGCTGACCAGCTGACAAGAGTAAGTTCAAATTAACTATTTAATTAGAAAAAGATTTCAATCGAAATGATTAAAAAATCTTGTAAAATGCAAAAATTACTGCAAATACCTGTCCCACTGCAGTGAGCTGAAATTGGCAAGTTTTAAAAATCACCAGGTCTAACATTCCGATCTTCCCAGAATTTTACTCAATTTTGATAATTGCTTGAGGAAGATTCAGCTTGAATCGAAATATCATGCCTCACAGATGTTCAGATTAAAATAAGTTTGAGTAAACATCCGGTTCTGGGAGGTTGTTGCAGCGGACAGAAAGCCTTTACAAATGTCTCCTCAATTTCCTTGCCTTTAAAGATTTCCCCAACTTCTTTGGCATTCACCGAAAACATTTCGATCCTGGTCCTCAGAAAACAGTTATTACCGTTCAACAAAACTTGGAACCAGTCATTTTCCTGTCCAAAATTGTGCTCGGTTCAAATGGAGGCTCACACGCTTAAGCTCTAGGCACCACTGAAACACAGCGCATAAAAATTAAGCCTTAACGTTGTGTTTGTTTTGTACAAAAGTCACAAACTAAACTGTCTCAGACTGCAGCATTCTTGCATTATGTTCGGTTGTACACTTGCTCTAAATAGAAACATTCCTCACAGTAGTGAATCCATTACTTTAAAAGTAAAAAAGAGTTATTCCAACTTCTACGTAGTAAAACATTCTTTATGTTTGAAAGTAGACATAATACATCCTCCTCCCCCAATTTTATTCGTGGAGGGAGGGTTTGCGGGTTGACAACCTTGAGCCAAAGGTCAAAATCTGAAAAGCCTTTGTAAATCTTAAGCAATAAACCTTCCTGCATGGCTGGACATTGAAATAAAGTGGATGTCACATAGTCAGTTTTTACCTTCAGAAATCTTCAGTCTCAGTATCTCCAGAGGCAGATGGCTGCCACGCTTCATTTGAACTTGAAAGGATTTGTCTTCCTTTACTTTACGCTGGCTTTTAACAGTGATTGTCACCAAGGACATTGAATCTATAATGGGGGCTGTCACATGCCAGGGGGGGTAGGGCCGTGTAGCGGTCATTGATTGCAGACACCTCACAGTATGAAACAGGAAAAAGAGACTGGCGGGTTGAGAATTTCGACAGAGATGCTGTGATCCACTGTGATGTACTAAAAGAGATGGACAGCTTGAAAAGGAAGATGGATGGCGGATTAAGGCACGAAACACTGTTCTTAAATCTCTCCAGAAAAGCCATATTATCAACTGCTGGTGTCAAAGCACAGGGTTTTAGTTCTTTGTTGACTCTCAAAAGGATTAAATTGCCATTGCAGTTCTGTGGTTTATTTGATAACTCCATTTTTTTTCTAAGGGAAAGATTCTGCGTTTGTGGTCAATTTAAAGTTGAGCCGTCAAAAGAAAAGAATCGGCCAAATTGGCTTGGCTTGTCTCCAAGGCAAACAAGTATAATTTCATTTAGGCAAGTAAAGGAGGTTGTCATTGATTAGTGAGCTGGATCAGTGTCAGGGAATTCTGCAGATAATCACATTAAATAATTTTCCTTTGATTACTTGGCATCTCACGCAGTGTTGGCTTGAACATGTGTGGAATTGCACCAAATATAAAAGGGCATCTTGAGCGAAGCACCCTGTCCGGTGTGACAAGGAAAGAGATAACAGCAAGCATTTCAAGGCCATTGCAAGCACATTTGCACTGGGAGCCTATGCAGAGATGCCAAGTGTTTTTGTGTAAATTAAGGTGAAATTTGGTCACGTGTACTGCATTTCATTTACATCCGTCTCACATGCATTTGCCCTTATTAACGGATGACGCAGTGCCGTCTTTTGTTTTGCATGGATTCAGTTCTGTTCAGGAAAGTTGAAATTTGGATTCCACACTGTGGTAATTTTCGGTGTCACAACCCCCCCCCCCATAAGAGAAAGAAAAAGAAGAAAACAATCACAACATTTGACAGAAGTAGGAATTTACATTAGATTTCTGCGAGCCTTCCAACAGAGCTGTCCAACCGTATGGAGGCAATCAACGTCGTTTGGTTCCCGTCCTTGTTATCTCCTACTGTGATCCTGGTTGGAAGCAATCTCCCACTCCTTTTGCTTTGGACTTGCTCGTTGCAGATTCAGATGTTTATCATGGATCTGACGCAAATCACCACGGAGATCAAGAGAGCCGAGGCAGTAGGGACATCAGCTGTGCCATCGTCCAGTTAGACGTCAGACGTCGCGTAACATTTCTTCTTGATTTTATGGAAATTCCCACTGGCTTTAACCAAAGTGTCTGTTGACACGAGACACCTCATGTCTGGCCTTCAGTTTTCTTTTCATTATTTACACTAAGACATTGTAGGCCTACTTAGTCTTTTGTTAGAATGTTCGAATGAGTTACCTGCCAAAGACAGATGTTCAATTTTAATTTTCCACATACATCTCCCGGGTAATTCAAGTCTACTGAATACTCGATCTAAAGTTCAAAGTTAAATCTCGTGAACCACTGGTGAAAGAGTGTTGGTATACATGTATCTTTGTCTTAGAAATTGGACTTCATGCTTTAACTGTATGTCGCAGCAGCGAACTATTTTACCTTCCAGGTTAGGGGAAAACCCGCTTTTTGAATGAAAACAAATCTGTTCAAGTACCCGGAATATAAATCAGAGAGCTGAGATCCTTATCCTGTAGGTATCTTTCCGAATCTAAAGAAGTGAACACATCAGAAATAAAGCAAACTGTAGACCTTCTGATCCTTGTGAACAACTTCCAGATACATCTCTTCAGCATTCCTGCCTTTGTTTCTTGTGTTCTTAAACCTGTGCGTGCCGAAAGGTTTGAGAAATTAAGCCCCTCAATTCAGTTCATGTCTTGTAAGTGCAGATGGTAACCGGATTGAGTTTTCATCGACTTCTTTTGAAGGCTTGTTTGCATCTTGAGAGGATTTCAGAAGGATAATACACTGTATCGACTTTTTGTCAGTCTCAAAAATTGCCTTCAGAAATTAGAAAACCCAAGAACTTTCTTAAAGTTGAATTTTCTTTACAAGCCCCTCTCGCAGATTGATCAACTTAACAATATCCCACAGCACATTTGAATTAGGGCACACGAATATGAATTGGCATTATTTTACCAATTAAAGTGTGTAATCACATTACAGAGTGCTTGTCGATGTCCTTGCAAGCAAGTCAGTGCTCGTAATAGGCTTAGTTTTAATTGAAAATGAATAATATAGAAATTAATTTTGTCAAATGCCTGGGGCTACTTTCTGAATGAGAACAAGAATGAGTTTATGTAATTGGATTTTGTGACTTTGTTTGGATCACTAATGAAATGTTTCCAGAGTTTTTGAACTTAGAACGCAGTAATGACGGTTTACATTTTTCGTACGTCCCCAAATTGCTCACAGTCACCTGAGATAATTGTCTGCTCTGCCCTGCTTGTGTTTCTAGCTCTTTCAAGGCCTACCTCTCATCAGTTCTCCTAAAGTGCCTGGCAAAACTAATATTTTCGCTTCTCTCCAATTAATCCATATGCACTGTCGGACCTTCATCGAGAGCCCTCCTGTCGTTTCGCCTCCCCCCGTCTGTTTTGTTCACAAACATCGGTTGATCCCGTGGGGGTGGTTAGCGCCGAGACTTTCAATATCGTCTCGGGCATTAGATGGGATTGTTTCGGCGAGAATCCCTCGAGCTTTCTCGGCAGATTCTTGGAATTGGAAGGAGGCAGTGAGGCATTCGAAAAAGGGGAACTTAAACGCTGTTGGCGAAATGGAGTCTGCAGTATAATTTGATACATATTACATATTAAATTTACAAGGTCCATCTTGCGAATGGAAGGAAGGCATTGGAATCGCAAATGTCTGCCTAATATGACTTCACAGCATCCCAGTCTGTATCAGTCATGGACATTGGTGGTCTACTTGAATAGGATTTTGATGAACAAGTATTGTATTTCGGTAAATACATGTACATTTGTATATAAATGTTGTATAATAAAACACCATACACGATCAGTCAAGTGGTACTGTTTACTTGTGTGTTTCTCGTGGCGTCAGATTTTTGTCCAAATACTCATCGGAAAGTAGCCTTATCATAAAAGGAAATGGTGTTAACTGATCAAAAACGACCTTCTGAAACTTAAAAAGAGGCCTGGGAGGGGCATTATTGATGGGGTGGGTGGGTGTAACAACGGTGAATACGGAGGACGATGCAATCAGGCCAAATTCGCGCACGACGGATTTATGCAATTGTTGGGAAGCATTGGCGGCGCGCTGTGTCACTCGAAGTTTAGTGTAGCAGCAAACGAAAGAACACGAGGATCAATTTTGATCAATGGTTTGTGGTGGGGGGGGGTTCCCCATGTATTCTCACCCAGTCTCTCACTCCACAGGGGACGAAGAAACCCAGTCCGATTCCTGTGCACAGACGGTTTCCGTGGCTTCGTCACGAGATGCATTTTGCCAATTCCCTCGTGATTATTACGGACGATGGTGTCTGAAACTTGCGCTGGATTGAATTCTTATCCCACGAGCGATTCCTTACAAAGCTTTGCGGCATCTCGTTTGACGTGACTTGTCGGGAGTTCGCTGAGATGGTCTCTCACCAAGTAATCCGGAAATGTGCGCAGGCGGCCCGATGAGAATTGTCTGGCGTCACGCACCTTGCGTCAATGTGAAGATGTTTGTGGCGCAGAGTACCTTAGCATCCGCCTGTGTCACCTTGTTACCGTCTGTCACCTGTATGGTATCACACGGCCGTGGACATTGCTCTCCCCATCACACGGGGTTTGTCATAAGATGTCACCATATAGCCATAACACCTGCCCATAACACCTGCTTTGTCACCCTGTTGTCACGTTCTGTCTAGAGGGGTTCTACAAGATGCTGCTATTTGCAACTTTTACTCTGTTTTGTTGTTTAATAATTCTCCCTCGAGTCAAGAAGTATGGTGTTTCTGCACCCAATCCGACTACCCACCGCTACTTGTAAGTGGGGCTTGCACACCAAATACGCCATGCTATAAGCAGGTTGGTATCATAGGATTGTCGCATGCTATGTTCGGCACACGGGCCGATGATCCCACAATGAAGGGCATAGGTGTTCCCCACTCAACAACATTAACAGTTTCTTAAAGTTTGTTAGGACCAACAGCAAATCAAGTCGCTGCATGAGGAAAATACGCCTACTGTACTCGTAGCTTTTTCAACAAGAACATTGACTATCCAAAATTAATTTCATCTCCCCGGCACAAATCCATCTTTGAAATAGTTGTTCGCGGTACCAGCCGCTACATCTCATTCGAACCAGCCAAGCGATATATACCGGCAAGCTAGGCAGTCGAGTGGTTAAGACGTCTGCACTAGTAAGTAGGATAGGAGGTAGTGGGTCCCAGTCCCACCCGAGTACGCTTGTGGTTTTTCACAAGCCCTCGGGGGCATACAGTGTTAAAAATACACGTCGGACAGGGCAAAAAATCCAAAATTTATTAATTTCATCTCCCCGGCGCAAATCCATCTTTGAAATAATAACATTGACGATAAAACAAAACTTTTATGTTACATTACAATATCTTATCAATTTTGTTTGTTTGATCTGTTTTAGAGTCTGACTAGAATGTTTGTAATTTTTGTTTTTTTCTCAAACTTCGTGTTGTTTTTGAAATATGGAAACACAATTTGGTTGGACACGGTAACTGTAAGACATGGCAACCAGCTGTCAGAGTTTGAAAACTAACACTGACAATTTCGAAAATATGCTCTCGAAGCAAACTTGTAGGATCGTTAGCAGGTACTCGTTTGGAGGCAGGTCGCGGGATGCGATCCGTGCACGCTTTTTGAAGGACCCCTAACATTAGACGAGATCTCACCTTGCTCGTGTGTCAGAAGTTAGTGTATTTCTCGTGAATAGGACATGTTTTGTCAAGCGGAACATAATTTTGGATCTTTTTAATTCAATGTTTTGTGCATCAGCGGCTTTTCCCCTCTCGAAGTGTTTTACGAAGGTTGTAACGATGCTTAAGAGAAATCGCGTTATATCTAAATGTCAAGAAGGGATTCTACACGGGGTTTAACTGTGGGGGGTATTTACGTTTGTCGTCTGTCTTTTCAAGTTGGGGATCGTCACATCGGGCGATCGCCAGGAAGGCAAAAAAATGAAAAAGGTGCACGGCTCTCCTCTTTGTCAGCATCCATATTTAAGGCCCTTGCTTTGGTGCTTTGCCCTGCCTTACTCCAGTGGCGTAGCTAGGATTTTACTAATGGGGGAACAAGGGGGCACCTGCATCTTGGGGAGGCACCAACTTT